TTGACCTAGGTCAAACCGATGACGTCACAGGTCAGGTCAAAGGTCCAATTTTCACCGTTTACAGGCATTTCAAGAAATGCGTTGTAAAATCGAGTAAAATGCATTTCATTGAAAATCATCGATGGGGAAATGTTCTTCAAACACATATTTTGCTATTTGAGGTCACTGATACCAGGTCAGGCCACAGAGGTCAGGTCACGGGGGGTCACAATATGAAAGTGTCGTGTGATACATGTTTTATGGTCCATTTTACATGACAAATGCGATTATGTGGGTCAGGCAGCCTTTGGGGCCAGCTTAGGTCACGTTTTGGTCAAGGTCAGGTCAAGGTCAGGTCAAGGTTAGGTCAAATTAGGTCAAATTTCAAAGTTAATATTTTTGCATAAAATGGGTATCGAATCGATGCAGCTCGTCACGGGGAGTTCAATGGTGGTCTTTGTTTTGGCGTACGTGGTCTAGAATCGCTAAAAATTGAGTTCAAAAATTTGACGTCATCATTTCTGAACAGTTTTTTCGCTATAACTTGGCCAAAAAACGAGATATCGATCTGAAATTTGGTATGTATATAGAAGGGCGCTGGGACTATCACATATATTCCGCTTTTTCGAAATTCGGGAAAATATGGATTTTTTAAAGTTTTTTTCTAAAAAAATTAATTTTTTGATTTTTTTTTGGTCAAAAACCCAAAATCTTGAAAATCCGAGATCGCAGTTTTGTAGCGCCGCTTTTTGTCTACTAGGCCATATAAAGAACTTTGAAATTGCTTGATAACTGTAGATTTGGTGCGCGTTTCAAGATTGCATGTTTTTTGCTCATTTTTGCTCGAACATGACCTCAGTTTGACCTCAATAACTCCTGACCTAAGATGACCTAAGACTTGAAATTTGGTGTGCAGGTGTCAAATTGATGCCCGGGAAGGTACTGAAAATTTGGCGATTCAGGAAAAACCAAAGGGGGGGCCAAAATGCCCCCCCCCCCAACGGGGCGAGGGTTAAGCACATCATGTGCATTGTGCGTGCTTTGAACAACTCTGCATGAAATGCCAGCGTTCAACGGCTAACAGATGAAGAAAGCGGGTGTTGTTTGTTTTTAAACAGTCCTTAGATATTCATTTGCACAACAAGCGCCTAAATGAGACATATTTAGCACATTCATTTAAACACCCAGCCCTGTGATATGAATGATCTGGCTGCTGCATCTGTCTTATATGTTGGGCAGTAATCGCCACGCCATGTGTGGATTGCCCATGATCGTAAATACATACATACATACATACATGCATACAATGTTTTACAGACACGACAGCCTTGTCCTTTCATCAGCAGATAGGTCATTGAGGCCATGATGTGCTTGCGAACAAAAATAGCAAGACACCTTTTGTAAGGTGTCTTGCTAATTACGGAGCGAGCGAAGCGAGCGGAGTCTCATACTGAATTAAGGGAAAATCCTGAGTATGAGCAGCCGGCCGGCCGGCCGGCCGTGGGGAGTGGGGACGCTTTTCAAAAGCTAATATCTTAGGAACGGGACATCCGATTGACAAGCGGTCTTCTTTACTGAATGTCACTTGGACGTAAAAGTTCTGTGGTGTGATGGCCACCATGCGTTCTTGCCAACCACCGCACGTGGCGCGTGGTAAAGTTGGACATTTTTTAAGAACCCCCAAAATTGCAACCTCAATAACGGCACAACGGTTGGGCCGATTGAATTGAAACTCGGTACACAGTTAGGTCTCCATCAGATAATTCATCTGCATGTGTTAAGGTTGGGGTGCTACAGCACGTGCGCACGTGCAGGGGGCGCTCCCAGATCTCGAGAACGGCTGGGCCGATTGCGCTCAAATTTGGTACACGGCTGGGGACCAGTTAGAAGGGTGCCGTGCAAAAGTCAGTTTGGACCCCGCTTGCACGTGCGCACGTGCAGTGTGCCGCTTCCAGATCTCGAGAACGGCTAGGCCGATTGCGCTGAAATTTGGCACATCGCTAAAGACCGGTTAGATAGGGCGCAGTGCACAAGTTAGTTGGAGGTACCCCCTCGCAATTTCGCACGTGCAAGGCCCATCTTCTCGCTCGCTCCGTTGGTCGCCCAAAAGGCGTTTTACTGGTAATTACGTAATATACGTGACTGTTGCCAATGCCTAACATGGACGCACCTGATTGTGACTGAGCCGCGACGACCATTGGTGGCTTCGTGGGAGCCTAATGAGCGCCCTCAATGTCGGCACAGTCTTGTAGCTGGCCGGGGAAACCTCTCAGTGCCGAGGCAGGGGCGGATGTGGGCGGAGCTGCCTCGTCCTAACTACGAGGTGCTGCATTTGAACTCGTCCTGGCCCCGTCGGGTGCCGAATCCTAACTTTTAGCTCCTGCGTCAGACCGATGGGCTACTTTGCATCACTCAGTGAGAGCTCCCTCTGGCTGAAGTTAGCCAAAGCGAATCGCAAAACGAGTAACGGAAATAAGATAAGCCATTCATTTCGGTTTGCGAAGACGCTGTATGACGAAATCGTTACATAAAATGATTCCATTTTACTGATCTCTTCAAGAATTGAGAAAATAAGCTTTCCAGAGGAAGCTTTTGTTAGGGCAGGAGTCCCTGACGGCTGGAAAATCCCTTTGATCTATGTCTAAGCTGCTCCGGCCTGGCGTTGCTAAATCTTGTGTTGCTACTGAGCTAGCCACCCTAAGAAATGAGCCAAATAGTCATAGAGCTAATTTCTACACGCTCATATTCGCAAATCGCATTTTAAATTTTTCCCCATGTTAACCCTATGGGAAAATGCACGTGCCGATTACCCCAAAACGGGTTAATTATATTTCAAGCGACCGATGCCAGTCGGTAGCTCCCCGATACGGGACCAAACGTTGAAAATAGCAAGAAATTCTACCGTGCCGTTTTCGAGGGATTCAAAATGACCCACATCGCGGCAGAAACGCTAAACACCCCCCTAGAGAGGTAGCTCAGGTTGGGATTTTCAATAGAAAATAAAGAATAGTGATTGTTCTTAATTGAAAAGTCCCAACCTTTGGAGATGTCCGCAAGGGATATATTTCTCCCCACGGACGGACCTCTTTCGTTCCTTCACATCTTCGCTATCGGTCGCACTTCCTGAAAGCTCTTCAATGCTCTCCGCCGGTCGGCCATTTTGGCAGGAGCTGTGAATAGGAATTCACAGCTAGTTTAGCGCCGAGACCATTGGTGCTCAGCAATTGGACATTAGCTGTCATCCACATTCTTTCTGGACCGTCTTCTTTTTCGGCTAGGCATTTTACTCACTTTTGTCTCCATTAGTCAACTAAAATTGGACCTATTCAGTGCAGGTTTAAGTGCAAGTTATTTTTTATAAATGGGTAGTTTGGGCGCTCAATTGAATAGGGCTCTTAAATGATGTGCATTTTAAATATCATAACGTGACCGCAGTCTGCGTGGGGGCGGCTCGGCTACGAAATGAACTTTTTATCTCTGAGTATATGGTGCTGGTGGCAATACACGCAAGACAATATAGGGTAAGGTGCCTAATTAGCGACCCTTTCCGATTTGCGACCTACCTCCCTACAGAAAAACTGGCAGGAGAAAACGTGGTAAAAACATCGTCAACAGGTCAGCCATACTTTGGTTATCAAATTAAATTATTTTCCGGTCGTCGATGTTTCTGGTGAGACGTTTCAGGTGAGTTTAAATAAAAATGACGAGTTTCTTATCCAAAACGTGTGTGATTGGGCCCTCTCTGATGAAAAGCGATGCACATTAGGATAATGCACCTTTTTTATTCTGAATCGACATTCCTTTTTTAATTGATTACCGTTTTCCTATAGTGAATCACTTAACTGTGCACAGCATGGCGGTTAAAAATGTGTCGCAACTCATATTTCCTATTTGCGCCTGACATGGTCGCAAATAGCTCAAGAAGGGAAAGAAAGGGGAAAGAGAGAAATGAAAATGAGGTGTTGCTGAAGCTTGCAATGTGTGGCAGAGGATGCCAAATGTCGTCACCGACTGCAGGGGTGCCGAATTCAGCGCGGACCTCGAATATCATACAAGATAGCCCGCAAAATTTGGGTTTCCGCCTTCTTTTCGCCTTCGGTGCATCACGTGATCAGTTTTTACTTACGTAAATGTGTTGGATAAACGTTCCTGTTCGAGTGATTGAGTGCTTTGCGTATAGGTTACCTTTTTTAGATCATATTTCATCTTTTCAGGCGTCGCATTTTTTTGCCATTTTTAATATGGGGAAACCCATAGACTTATTAGCGACCCTCCCCGGTCACTAATTGGGAAGAGTTCCCTATTAGCGTTTTTTTGCAATGGTTTGCCAAAATGCTCACTACAAATAAGTTAGTGAATATTGGGGCAGAAAATGACTATATTTTAATAGAAAAATGAACGATCTCTCCGAAAATCAAGCCAGTAACACAGTGGCACCCACAGAGCGTGAGCAATGACGGTTCAAATTAAGGGGGTCGCTAATTAGGCACCTTACCCTACCCTTCGTGACCGCAGAAATCTGACCGCCGATATATCCCGGATCAGTTTTGATCCTGCTTCTCTGACTGCTTCATTGGTGGCCTCTACTACTGCTAGAGTGAAAATAGGTATAGCAGTCTGATAGACTGGCGTTTCTCCTCTAATAACTGATTCTTGTCTTATAAGCTTCATTTGCTGGAATTACTGCCGACAATGACTCCAGATTAGTACACCACTTGGGCATACCAACCCAGCGACGTTCTCTTCCGCGGATGAAAAAGCAATGTTTTATAAATTCCATGCATATCTTATCAACAGCAGCCCAACGTTCGTTATTATGTTGCGCATTCCTTCGTGACATCATCAGCCTTAATTAGCCTTTCTTTCCGCTCTACCCAAGATGACTCAGCTCTCGCTCTCCCCGACCCAGCCCCTCCACACTCAGTCTCAGACCGTCACAGCTCTCAGCCACACTCAAGCTCAGCCCTTCCTCACGTCCCGCCCCGGCCTCATATTTCAGCTCTACTGCCCTGTCGTTTCAGACTCAGCCACCGACGGAGGCGACGGGCGGCGCTCCGACCTTTTCCTGCCACCACGGTGCCGACGAGTGCCGCGCCAACCTGGTACACGCCTGTGGCCTGCGGCTGGCCGAGCGGCCGCCACAGGGCGTCCGGTTTGTCGTCTGTCTGCTGAAGGAGATGAGGCCGGCGCTGTTCGAACAGCACGCGGCGCAGGTGAGCGTGGTAAAAATATTTCGATCGGAATGTTATTGAAGGAGACCTTTGACAAAAACTACTTTTATTACACACAAATATGTCTGTGCGAAACTCCTTTGAATTTTAGGCTACGTACCAAAATAGTGCTGAATCCTCCGAAACGATTACCTACCTAAATGTCATTCAGTACGGCATTGTATGAATTATTTATCAGGTTTTCAGAGCTTCGCTGATATCTAGTTAACGTAAACTTCCGTCGATGTAACTCCATACGCACCTCCCGGAGCCCCAATTACGTGGTGATGAACCAGTCAGAGGGCCCTGACGCCACCGCTCTGGCGGCGGCCGGAGCCACTGGTCGATCCTCAGATCTGAACATCTGTCCCCCCCCCCCCCGCTCGCCTCACAGGCTCTTGATTGGGTGATTAGGTGGGTCCTGATGAAGCATTAGGTCAGAATCAAGATGGCGGCTCCAGCATTGGCCAGCTTCCGGGCCCAGAAACTAGCCTTAATTACTCTCTTAGAAGACAATAGTTGTTCTTGTGATATGCTGCCAGCTATTACATATCAGAAAATGATTTTTAGTTTGGTTACGTTCCTTTGGGGCTCAGTGGTGGTTGTAATTGCCTAGAAGTGCTATCAAGGCATTTCTAGGCCGATCAGAAGCCGATTGGGGTATTGACGATTGGGGTTCGTGACGAACTGAGTTTACTAGGTGTGCTCCCCCATGTTGCAGTGCGCCAGCTCCAGCGGTCTCTCGTGGTCGGCTGTCAGCGCATGCGCAGACGGCGGGGTCATCAGTCAGGTGATGGAGCGGTATGGAGAGCGAACAGAGGCGCTCCGGCCTCGACTCAGCTTCGTGCCCACAGTCACCGTCAATGGGGTGAGATGTTACTATTTTTATATATTTAGTCTAAGTGATTGAATGGGTGGCATGCGGCCTAGGTGCTCACTATGTGCGCTGTGGCACGGTACGACACGTATGCGAGTACGGCGAGATGTGGCGGGATGCGAACGACGCGTGTCCGACGCAAGCGAACGGACGCGTGCAAAGCAACGCACCGTAGCAAAAAAAAAAAAGACACTTATGTGAGGCGAGACCAAGCGTAGGTGGCTCGTTGCTTGTAGAAAACGGACAAATATTGTGATGTTTTGCGTCCTTAAATACTGATATAGGAGCTGGATGAAAAGATCATAAGTTTTCATTTAGATATTAGGTACATACCCAAAAAATTGTTATCATATATGATTACAAAGCTCCCATGAGAAAGCTTATCTAAGAATATAGTCGAAGGTTTATGTTTGGAGAATGAGACGTTGCCAAATCATAGGTACATACCTTCTCCGTATACCTCTGGCGGTACAAACCGGTAGAAGTCCTTCGTTATTGCGTTCCAGACTGTCGGAGAGTCCGAGATGCGAGCATCGTCACGGGAAAGTTAGGCGCTGACAAACTTCTGCTAGCCCCCGGCTGATGTCAGACTTTGGTAGTTAGAGTCAGTCTCCGACGGGGATGTGGACATTCGTTTGCCAGTTGCATAAGTAGCTGCTGCCCATCAGGGATGGAGATATTGGTTCTTATCTTGAGGACCTTGCACTTATTCTTATACCCATGATAAACGACAATCGGCGAGCTGGAGTCGAAAGCAAATAACAATTCATAATAAAAAGCTCCAGCAAAACAAAAATGCATGCATTGTATTTGTCATGATCTAGCGTAGGAAAAGGAGTCGGTGTCTCTCGCGCGCTTCGTATTGCCACATTCCAAGGATGTCGAATTTCATGCGAAATTACTGACGACATTTTTTTCCTCTTCCAGAGTCAAGACCGGCAAGAGGAAATGCGGTCATATTTTCTTGGCTTCGTGTGTAAGTGGTATCAGGTAAGTCATGGGCTCAGGGGATTGGTGACGTGTTTTTGGATCACACAGATGTCTGGGAGATGGCTGCTTGCAATTATAATCGTTTCATATGCACGACAAAGTTTCTTTTTTCATTCTCTGATGCAGAATGGTGTGCAATGAGCATCAAAAGGTCAGCAACGAACCCCCCCCCCCCGCCCCTCGTCTCACTTGTTCGTCAACGCTTAGCCTCGCTCAGGGTTTTGTCAGTTCCTGCTCTTACCCGACTCTGTTCGCTGCCGGAGGTCGGGTTTCTGGCACTCGGGGTCATATTGCCCTCAGGCGCCACTTTGTCATATGATCCGGCGCATCCCTACACCGGAGAATGCCTTAATTGGAGAGGGTTAGTGTCCAGGGGCTCGTCTTCACGGCACACAACCAACAATTTCACTAATGATTCCGATAAATGGAAGGTTACGGCAGCGTGGTGGATGCTGTTTTGCTTATTATTTTTTTCACCGTTAGCAGTCAATCAGGTATCATAACTATCAAAACAAATATCTAGAACCGTAATCGGCACTATAAAGCCGAAAATTTAACTTCAATAAACAATATAAGCATTGCATAAAGTCTTGTTATTTTCCCAGGAGCTGTTATTGATCCTTAAGTGCTGCCCAAGTAATCAAATAGCGAATCATGTTCTCTGCTATATAGCTTTACTGGCTATGTTTGAACACATTGTCGTCCGCGCCTTTTGCTTAGCATATTGACATCGGCATATATTTTAATGTAAGCCAAGTGGACGGGATTCAAGGCCTGGATGTCATCATGCTAAATGTCATGTTATGTAAAGCAGATTTGATTTGCAAAAATTAGACGGTTAAATAGGCAGAAGGGGCGAGATAAGAAAACAACGAGTGACGTGGGATCAATGTGACCAGCGTGACTAGCATGGGAGTGATGGCTCAGAGTGTGCAATGTGCATTGATAACGATGTTTCATAATATTCATACGTTCTCTAAAGACCGCTTGAAGCAGCACAAGCTGGTAACGGAGAGAGAGAGGGAGAGAGAGAGAGAGAGAGAGAGAGAGAGAGAGAGAGAGAGAGAGAGAGAGAGAGAGAGAGAGAGAGAGAGAGAGAGAGAGAGAGAGAGAGAAAATGATTTTATATCCATATACGTCTTCATAATCAATGCTTTAACCAAAATATAAGTTTAGGTTAATTGTTCAACTGCGTGTCACATTCAGAGGAAATTTTAATTAAAAATTATGATTGCGACAATTAAATGCACAATGGAAGCCTAGGACATACCTGCCTGCGCCGCAACTCGCAAACTTATCGCACACGCACTCAGGTAATTATAGCGATGAAACTACGTTTACATTTTCCATCACTTATCCTATTTCGCCACAGACAAATGACCACATCAATTATAGAAGTTGCAATAGTGTGCGATGGTAATTGCTTTTGACTGAAATGTGACTATGGATCGAAAGTACAGCAATCATCATTTTGTGGCGGTGCAGTATTGGTACAAAGGAGCCAGGGCTAGCATTATTACATACGCCATCGCACAGTCGGGAGCAGTTCGTATCGACCAGCTGAGAGGCGGCACAAAAACCACCGGCCAGTCGACAACATCCGAGCACGAAACGCCACTATCGCTTATCGGAAAATAGACCAGAGCCGCGTCACGCGTTATAGCGGCCACCGCGAAACGGGCTGCAGTCAACTCGGTGACTGCCATCTCTGTGTGTGTGTGTGTGTGGTGAAAGGCGATGGTCACAACACGTAAAAACAGGCAATGTGATCCTTTTCAAATATCGCTTTCCAGCTTATTATATTATTTAGAGAGTGGCGTGCGTACTTTCCGAGGACCGTAAAAAGTTATTGCTTTTACGGCGGGGATAAATTACTTTCCACGACCCATAACGATGGCAAGCGAAACTTGGAAATGCGTCATTCTTACTATCCAGGTTTTGTTTTCTGTACTGACATTTAGAAATTCGCTTATTATTTTATTACGACAAAAATCATCTTTCACCCTTGCAAACATGCTGGAAAAAATAATGATGGACCGTCGAACCGAAGGGCGGTATGGTTAATTGTCGTGAAAATATGCATAACTGTCATAATCTTGATATCAGCCGTCAGAGGCTTTCTAATTTTTTTTTTATGCAAAGGTAAAGAATAATAGGGTTTAATAGCAAGTAACGGAATTATTTCGTTCTTTTATTGCAGACTGTTGACATCGACATTGCGTTGTCTATGACGCCCTGGCTTCAGTTTGACGTGGACTATCATCCTGTTAGTATCGCCCCATACGAGGCTGAATCCCTTGTGGGCAAAGTTACGCTCGACGGCTCTGTTGTCGTTTCGAGAAGCCTTGCAGACCGTCAACCAGCTACGTGTCGGCAAATCCTGCCAATGTGCGGGGCTTCCAAACTGCGTCGGAAGCCCGACTCGTCCAGTAGCCGGGTTCTGCTTGAGAGGTCCCGGTACGCAGTGGGGGTTGTACCCATTACAACTATTTCCTCAGGAGATATTGTGGCCCGAATAATGCCCTGAGTGACGCGCGATGCTAACCTAATTAGGTGCTGCCACATGGCACATTACCAAAGTTTCTAGCATGACCATTGGCATAGACTTCTCTATTCTTGTGACACGGTAGTCTGCCATTCATTATATTAACTAAATAACACGTAATTAGCTTCCAAGAGTTGGCTATTCCAAAGCTATATCTTAACTATATTTTCTTATGGTGAAAAAGGTTACACGGAATGATCTATATATTCTTGAACTTGCGCAATGCTTTCAGAGGTTCAGAACTAAATCATTTTATAAGAAGAATAATTAATAGTAGTACCCCTCCGTCCCTTCCTTTCTAAAAAAAAAATATCTCTAAAATGCATTGACAACCAACAGTCAGTGGGTGTCCACTTCCAGTCGTCGCTAACCTGCCTTTTCCGTTTCAGGACAGTAACGGTGAAAAGCTGTCTGGATGTCCGTAGGTCGGATCGACCACACCTCTCCGCTCTCAATCACACCTCTCAGCGACTCTCACCGGGGTTCCCGGTCGGTCAGTCACAAGTTCATACTATCACGCGTCACGACCGCCATCCGACCTGTCTGACACACAGCAGTCATCACTTCACCGCTCCACAGGTAGAGCTCATCGTACGGGCAGGTCGAAATACTCAGCTTCACTGGGAATCGATCCTTCACTGGGAATCGATCCCGGGCTAGACGAAGGACGAAAGATCAATGATCACTTCGAATGTGATACCCAGATGACTAACTCAGAGTTTATTGGACTCTTGTTGACCAAGTAGCCGTGCGGAGTGATGGATCAATCGTGAATGATGGCGTCACGGTGGATGACGTCATAATGATCTGAGCGAAGAGGTATACCACAGAGTCCGTTCTGCTACTTTTGTTTTTCAACAGTATGTGAGGAACTATCGATTTATTTATTTTTTACATTTATGATTTATCAGTTAGTTATGACCAATCTTGTACATACTGCTGCACAGAAAAGGTTCCTTATCATTCACATTTCATCAGAATGCACGCTAGTGTTGCATTGCTTTTGCTTACAAAAGTCGTCATCCATTGTGATGAGGTTTGTTCCAAAAGCAAGATCTCGCTCTACAATGAATAAGCAGATTTTACTTACAATATTTCACTAAAGACCCTGCATGAAATTAGTGCATAAGATTATCTAAATCATTCACCTTTAAGACGTCTCTACGAAAAAAACACTTGTTTTAGTCGCCGAACGATGAAATCTTGACTTTTTGTATTACCTCAGCGAACTCAGACGTTGCTATCTTCTTTCTGTTCCCTGATTACTCCGAAGTATAGGTGATTTTATGAGTTAACATTCCAAGGCATATGTATTTCACTCTCAAGTGAACCGAGTCGCAAAGGCGCCGGGTGACAGTCCTACCCAACAATGGGCGGCGAGAAATAGGCACGCTGTGAGAAAACATTCCATGGATGCCAACTAGCATCCTAGGACCAATGCAGTCCTTCCTCTCACGCTTGTGAGAAATTGTGCGGGAGACTGACTTCTTGTGGAGCATTTAGAAATGCGAATCTCATCTGCACTGGCGGATCCAAAACGGTAGGTAGCTCCTGCAGTGGGAGGGGGCGAATTTCCCGAAAAGTGTCTCCAATTTCCAAAAACTCCTCGGATTTTGGTTGTTGATGCGTTGTTTTGCTTTTAAAGACAAACTTACCGAATAGAAGCTGCTAGCTTTTCTTATTATGCATTAGAAAAACAGCAAAATTTATGTCTTATGCCTCAAGGCACCCACCAAGGATCTCATCTTCAGCGCTTATATTGTAATTGAATATGCGTCGGCCAGATTTGTGGAGATATTATCGATGCTGATATTATTGTTGTTATATCGTTATAAAATACAGAATTTGCGCCATTACTACGGTTGAGCAGTACACTGAAGTATACATATGTTGTGATGAAGCGTATGTGTCACACACAATATTGATTCTATGACGTGTTCATGATAAGCAATGCAGATAACTATTTTTGCCCGTCTGCTTCAACAGAGAATAAAGCATAAGGCGATGTTGTCCAATTAAATCCGTCGCCTATAAAGTAAATGTCGAAGCGTCCAATAGCGAGAAGTTAAGTTCACTTACCCTTTACAAATTAATGCCAAGGTAGGCATTAATGTTTGTTTGATTGAATAATAGCTTTATGTGGGTACGTAGGTATCTGTGTGCTTTGGTTCACGCATGACTGGAGATATGATCAAGTGAGATGTCACCGTGCAGTTTTTACCCGTCTCCCGACTGCATTGGAACACATGAATTGGGACACAAGTTAGTTAAATTGAAGTCATTTCAAGCTCAAAGATAAAATACCAGGACAAAATGTTTTGTTGCGCTACAGGAACTTTGTGTCTGAGCTACAGAATCGATTTGGAGGTCTCTGAATACCGAGGTCTATATTTCATCACATGCACAGTCAAATGCTTTAATATTTATCCGTGTTTATGAAAGAACACAGTGTCTGATCACCTGTAAGTATTTCATGTTAAATAATTGGTATCGGTACACTGTGCGTTCAAATGTAAACTGTACAAAATGGTAATGTTCACGGAGAGGTGTTGTTGTTGTCTGCGCGTGTGACAGTGTCGGCGCTCGCTCGTCACGGACACGGTGTGTAAGTCACGGTTCGTGACATTTCGTGATGTAAGCTGAGCGGCATGTCCGTGAGCCATATCTTTCCTGTTCTGAAGTCACTCGACACATATTAACTGTTCCGAAACACCCAGCGACTTCTGACGCTCCAGAGTCGAGCTGCGTTGTACATATGTATCACATGCGTACCATATACCGTGCTCGTGCGTGTTTGAAATGTTGTGATGATGTTGGTTCAGTGATCGGATTATTTCTAATGAATGTGTAAAACGTAATAAAACCACACTCCAGCCGTCAACAGTATAAGCGTTTGAAAATAAATCCTTACGAAACGGATACAGTCGAAGGCGAGGCAACCGAATTAACCTCTAACGCCATTGTTTGGTGTCCTGCGCTGAAGAATTTCATTTAAAAGAGATAAAACATTTCATTTATTTTCAGCGTATAGCATATGTACAAATTGCTTAGTGTCAAACAATATCCCTTTCAATACGAAAAGCATCAAGACTTTCAGTGGATGCGTAACTTCTTACAAAAATATCAAACTGTAGTGACTAATTTTTCTATCTGCAAACAGTTCGCAAACAGCCAAGAGCCCGTACAAAGAGATAACCGAATAAAACGATCACGACCCACACATTTGTACCGGCATAGGACTCGATATACCCTGCTTTTCTACACGCTCGCACAGTTTCGCGCACATCATTGCGCGGCAACGGCCCCAGCGGGATGCTCTTGCGTGGCAAGTGTCATTGCTGTCACTGACATCCCTTACTGACACACTGCGAACACTGACACATGGGGCAGCTCACCGGTGCGTACCCGCGACCAAAACCCTGTATTGGTACTGCACCATTCCACGAAGGGCTCACACAGCTCTCACTGCCTATACGAGGCTGTCCGAAATCCGAATCGCTAGCATCACACTCAAATCCAGACCGGGAAGCTGGCATTCCATACGATGACAGGATTTGTGCGTTTCCTGCCTCCACCACAGCGCAACTTGGCACCAATCGCATCTGCTCCAGCGTCGCTAACGCATTTCTAAACGTTGGTTGCTGCAATATTATCATTACTGTTGAATTTTTCATTCAGTAGACAAAGTAAGGCGTTGGTGTAGGTAACCATTTGCGTTCAAGTAGATCAGCGATTTTACAACTCTTTTTTCACACCTGTCCCACAATGCTTTTTCTGGAGCTCGAAAAACAATTCACAAAATCAAACCATGCTCATTCCTCTACTGGCCTGGGAAAACAACAAACATGTCAAGTTTCAACACACGAGTTGTGCACTAAGGTACGCTGGCATCTCACCTGATGACATCAAACATGACGTCACACCCCGTACACCTATCATCTCGTTCACATGTCCATAGATTCTAGTTTCGAGATGCGCAGAGCACATGCGCTGCATGGTCAGACCATTGATAGTATGCTTTCCGTAACTGACTCTCTGACAGCAACCAGCGCTGGTATTTTGTCTACGTCATCACGAAAAACGACTCAACCACCACAACTTGATGACAGACTGCTATTCCCACGAGCTACGTCCTGAGTTAACTCGGCTAGTCTCTGAGCCTGCAGCATACCGAGCCTCCACGCCGGTTGTTTATCCGAGGTCACTGCGGAGTCACTTGGGCTAGCCTTTGAAACCGCAACGCACGCCAGTAGGCCACTCAAGTCGCCACAGTACATCCACTGTCAGCTAGTGAGCGATTGTCCAATAGTGGCAATCCATCGCGCTTTTTCAGTTAACAAAAATATACCCGAAAAGCTTGCACCGGCAAGATCGTGGCCATCCCATGAACCGCTGATAAATGAGAAATCAGTAGTCACTATTTGAAATTGTATCGCCCCGGCACCATCTTGGATGTCATGTAAGAGACAACCGGTCTCTAGCTTCCTCACATGTTTCACTCTGTTTCTCAGCAGATAGTCAAACGCAGGGATCACTTCATCACAGTGGTAACCAGATGGGGCTGCACTGGTGTTCGGGTCTCATTGGTGACCCGACAGGACACCCGAAGGCAGCGGCGAACCCGGGAAAGTGGCGCATCATGGCGTTTATCCTGTCGGAGAAGGAATGTTGTCAAATTATCAACCGATTACCGAGCTGAGATAAAACCGAAATGAGATCAGATGGTTACCTACCAAAGAGATGTTGACATGGTCTGCGACAATATATTCGGCACCTTACACTGCTCCCTTTGTGCAGTGTTATTGCATTTATGCAATTCGATATGTACAAATGACAAGATATAATAAGTCATGTCATCAAAGCCAGTTCCGAAAGCGAGTTTTCCACTCCACGTTGTCTCTGAAAATACCCACATTTATTCAAGTAGGTATATTTCGATGAATTGTAACTTATTGCCAGGAGCTAGCTTATTAATTATGATTTTAATACCACTGTTTTACTCACCTTTCGGGATTGGGCAGGTGGGTGTCCACCTCTGCGGACGTAATGTAGCTCACCGGCGCTACCTTCGCACAGTACGTCTGCCGAATGAGAAATGGTGGGTGTCGTGAAGATATAATCCAACGCAGAGATGACAACACAGAGGGCACAGAGATGACACAACCGTGTTCACTGTTGACATATGCAATGATTTAACAATAAGTTGTCATCTTGATGCCAACTGTCGCTGTTTTTTGGTATGGTATGGTATGTCTTGCACGATAGCTGTTTAAATAATAGGTACTGAGCTGAACATGAGACCACTCAGTTCAGGGACAACGCAAAAACGGGGTTTAGACGTTTTATAGACAACCTACCTGCGCTAATGCTAAGAGGAAGGTTTGTCGAACGCTGCCCTGAACTCCGGGCAGTCGGGGCTCTGGCGAGTGGCGGTGACGGTGCTGCCATCTGTGATAGGTCCGCCAAGCTAGCGCCAGACCGTCATGGTCCGAAAGGTTTTCGTCCAGCGTTAGCTCGCCGTTCGGCTGTAAACCATTGGATCGATCAGTGAGGTTTCGGAAAGACTTTTTATCTTCTTTTCTTCTTCCTTTTTTAACTGGCGAGGTCTGCCTAGCGATTGATCATCACAATGTCCTTTTATTTGTAGCAGTTCCATAGGTAGGTATTCGATAAACCAAAAGCTGCGACTATTTCGAAACAGCACTAAAAGGCCTGCGAACCTGCAAAGGAAGTGATCCCTAAAATTCATTAAGTTTGATCAGTATGCATGGAAAGCACAACTAAAAATAACCCTGCATTTTTCGGTAGAAACATAAATGAAGATAATAGGACCTATATAGTTTCTAATAGACAGATAAAAGCAAGCACACAAACAAAAGCCAAATAAAACATAGTGATTCCTTACGTGAGAAAAGCACGTTGACATACCTGTGCGCTGAACAAGAGACCGCTGATCTCCACTTCCCGGCTGAGATTCCGCGTGAACTGATGTCGGACACAATGTCGTAGATCCGACAGCTGGTGTTCTGTGTCCTCTGACAGCGAGTGGAGCTCCCCGTCACTGTTGAAATAAAACCCTGGAAACGTAACGGATCCGTCAACTGAGCATGTACGCCTACAATTGACAGACAATGTGTCGTTTCAGCCATTCAGCGCGTATTCGCCGCTCCCATGCACTGCGGAACAGCCTACCTTCAGGCGCACACTACCAGCGCCATCTATTGGGAATTACGCAAATTCACCAGGTCGCGTGGCGATGGACTCTTCGTCGCTCTTTTGTGCGGGTTCGTGAAGTGGAGGCTTAGGGAAATGCATTTCAAAGCATGATGAGGAAAGGCCCGACTTATCGCTAGCTTTCCACAGCCACCTTTTCCTCGTGCATAGAAAAGGCAAGTGGATAGCAACTCAAAATGCTTGTTTCTTTTGGCCTACTTTTGACAAGTTTTACAATGCATAATTTGTGATATCATACGACATTTAAAAGGAAAATTATGTCCTGAATCGAATCTACACTCAATACCCGACTGATAAAATATTGGCGTTTAGCAACATATTTTACGTCTAGTTATTACTTATTTCATCCCAAACAATTCGACCAAATACCGCAATATTCCACCATCTCATTTGACTAACCTGTGACACCAACACTGTGCAGCAGTTCGTGAGCGATCGTGGTACCGAGCGCCGCCATCGTAATGTACCGCGGTACATCGTCAAACAGGTACGGCTCAGACAGGAACGCCAGCGGTATCACTGCAGCACACGAGAGGGCAGGAGAGCTGGTGACATGCTTGTTTAGTGGCAAGTAGCGACCTATGGTTAGGTATGTAGCATCGAATACACATGTACCAAAACCCATAAAACCTGCATTCTGTATGTATTCTGAACAAAAACACCATCCAGGCTGGACGGTGGTCCAGCAGTGTTGTTGAACACATTGTTATTAAATTGAATTGCAGCCATCCTGTAATTGTGAAGAACGGCGCTTCAGGCACAATTACCACAATAAACTGAGGGTGAAATTAACTTAATGTACACATTGTTGTCAGTGCTCCTTCTCCAAGAACTAGCCGAAGTCCTCACGGCATCATTGTGTGTAAATGAATCGATAGCAACTCGTTGCTGGACATGAATGAGTGAGCCTCACTGGACGGATGATAGCTACTTACCCACCGCGTTACGGTCCGTTAGGTAGTAGGCGTTTGGCGAGTAGGGCTGAACGACGTAACTCCAACTGAAATGAATCAGATCAAACTTCAGGAAAAACAGGTGGGGGGAGGGGGTGGAAATAAATGAACCTTCTTTCCGGGCGGTGACGTAATTCCTTGCAGTAAAAATGTGAGACGCCTACACACGATATCAAAGCTGCAATTGAATCCTAGATTAAAAATTCCTCCTATATCGGTCCAATGACGTCATTTTTAGAGTCGGAACGGTGACAGGAATTAGGGGGAGACATTGGTCTGGAGTAAAATGATTCGTACGCCCTGAGAGTAGGTTAGGGACCGGAGGACACTTTTTTTTGTTGGGTTAGGCCCTTTCAGTCCAATTGACCATTTCAAAGCCGGGAGAATGATAGGAAATAGGGGGAGACATTGGTCTGGGCAGGTACCCGAGTCACCGGGGCTGAGCCCGTCCAGAGGACAGGCCACCCAGCCCCAAGGTACTCACTGCACCCGGCTACGGGGTGCGCTCCCTCGGGAGCAGCGGTGCCGCTCCAAGGGAGCAGCCCGCATGAGATAAAGTTGCCTGTCCAGCCCGGAGGGGGGTTGCGGCGTGGAGGAGAAGGATTTCAGTATCCTGAGGATAGAAGCACGGAAAGGTGAGGACAAAGATCAAGCTCACTCACATGGTATCTTCAGCTTGGAAGTCTGCTGCGAGGTACTGGTCGGAGAAGGTGTCACCGATCGACGTCAGCGTCTTCATTAATCGCAGCAGACGATGATGATTGGGCTCCTGTGGGGCATCACAGAAAATGTCAGTCAGCGGAAAGTTAACAAGCACCAAGCAGGCATTGAAACAACTGAGCACTGCATTAGGTCAATACTTCTGTGTATTTTGCCCAGGGGATGCCGCGCAGAGCGCCCCTGTTTTAGGAGGTCTAACCTCAAGTTGCAATGTTACCCGCTAGGTGGCACGTGCACAGTCGCACTAGAAACTCACCTGCATATGCAGCCGGTGTCCTAGGCTAGCAGAGTGACTGTTGATAAAGTGGTCATCCCAGAAGCTGTCTGAGGCAGCGATGAAGCTGCGGAGTCGCCGTAGTTTCTCCAGTGCAGTCTGGTAGATAGGCGACGGTGTTTGGATGTTACGCTTTTCTATCCCTCGAATGAGCTCGTCTCGGATTTCTGAGACCAGAGCCGATACCTGAAGAAAAGTACGGAGGAATCCATGCGTCAGCGAATAAGAAACGCTATAGGCCTGGTTGTAATCAGCAATAGTATATGATGGACATTTCATTCATTGCGGAAGTAATCAACAATCAACGTATGATTGAATTAGGCTTAAAAACTTAAGAAAAATGTTTCCAATATGAGAGTCGTTAACGGGCTTGCCATATACCCTTGATTAGCTTATGGTAACTGGTAAGGCTCTTTTCTCTTGCTTTATTTCCATTTTCCATTACGTTGCGTGATAGCAATCAGTAACGACAACACAGTTGACAATTCATGAAGCATCGCATACTGCTACATCGGCTCGCTTTCTCGATCTGTATCTACCGGCCAAACCGTCTTGACATATCCCTTGAAGTCACTGACCTTGACCTTAAAGGCGTCGACCCGGGCTCTGCCTGCGTCCCTGACAAACATGCCGGCCAGGGGTACCGGGAAGACGGTCTCGACCAGACCCAGACAGTACTGATCTCGTGCCTCGTCGCTCTTAGCTGCACCGGACAGGGCGTCTACTAGATAGTCCAGATGAGATTTCCTGTGGGCATGACAGTTGTAGATATGTTACCTTCTTAGTTTATCGTCAAAATGCCGAAAGTTCCCAGACTGTCTGAAAGGGTCGAACCACAGATAACAGTAGTACTACTGTTATCTGTGGTCGAACGTATAATAAATACACTTTACACGTAGCAAACATTATGTAAAATGGTCCAAAAACTAAAAGTTTTTTCAACAGAAAACAGTGTCCCAAAATTTGTCGATTTGGGTGGGAAACGACATCCAAATGAAAATCAATTTTCACTTTTACCTCCAGTTTTCAAGCCCAATTTCCACTCCCAATTCCACTGAGAAAGAGCCGTTGCGTAAATGGTTGTTTTGCATCTGTCACACTTGTAGATTAATAATTTTCATCATTTTGCCACTCTTTTTGGGCCTTACCTGACCGACGATTTTTCACTCTCATCCTTTCTTTGGTCAGAAATTTTCCCCGCTGACACCCAAGCAAAAATATAATTTTGGGAGACTGACAGAAAACACAATTATAACCAATAGTGTTTAACTATTAAACATAAACCCTCGGTTACATCAGAAATAAGTGAAAATTGACAGGGCAACAATAGGTATTCGATATATAGCCCTATCACAAAATTGACTATGCAAATAACATTGACATTCCTATCACTTGAGCAATATAGCAATTAGCGGATTATACATTATGCAATCAGGTACACATACCTGTACATCAGAAGCACAGCATTGTGAACTATGCGGGGTGAAAAAATCATCAGCATGAGGTCCAGATCCTGCATGTATTGCGGAAAAGGCAGGCAAACTTCATCGTCGTCCCTGATGTCCGGAGCGACAGTTTCTCGAAGAAGTCGAGTCCAGTTTACCTGTCGGAAGTCGACAAAATAAGTCATATAACGCAATATAGCAAAAAAAAAAAGAGCAGGTAACACCAGATAGCATATTACAAATAGAATAGTAATGTAATGGGGATGATGCACTATGAGCTTTTATTTCCCGTCTTATTCCTACTCGTAAGTCGTAACTATTTAGCTTTTTCAAGCATGCTCGTCAATCATCCTAACAGCTACCCATAAATTGACCGTTTGGAAGACTGGAATGGAAGCATGCATCGGAATTTAAGTATTATGACATTTTTAGAAGAAAACCAATCCATACAAAGAGACCATCACTTGCTACATAAATATAACAATAATAGCCAGGTCATTGGCGTGACCCCGTTTCCCCTCTGATACGTCAAGTAACTGATTGCCATCGATCACGCTACGAATTGTGACTTACGAGTAACAGCGACATATCTCCTGGTCGAACGCAATGGCATCGATGTTGCAATTTCAACAGCATACGTTACTTTGTTTGCAGCTACTTTGCATTTCGGGGCCGATTTATGAGGCATGTATATTAGCAGGGACCACCAAATTAGCTTTTAGTTCACCGAGGATGGCACTAATTCAAATCGATGGCTGCTCCATAAACATTGAGCAGCTTCCCAGACTTAGCCGATTCTTACATATAAATCCATAGGCAGAAATAATTGATAAAAGCTTTTTAGAAAACATTCTCATGGAAACCACCTTGTATTTTCTGTCAAGGTATCGTTCTACCGACATAAGGCCTCAGCTTTCATGAATATCAAGCACTAAAATAAAAATTGGTTTCACTCCCAAATAAATGGCTTGGCGTCCTGCAGGCATGCCATTTGATCTTACCGCTATGAACTCGCTGCTGAGCTGGTGCACGGTCAGCGAGTGCCGACACCGGAGCTGGCCGTTGATCTCCAGCTCGGCCCTCTCCCGGTGAGAAGGCATGATCTGACCGACAGAAAACAGCACCCAATTGAGGACGTCGATCAACATCGATATAGGAAAATTATACGACGGTGTTGTTTGTTATGAAGGTTTTGCTTAGGTTTTACTACCTGCGTGTATTTGTATGACTCTTTTACTCCTAATTCCTGATATGGTTATATCCTCGGGACAGTAATCTTATCTTGCGATATCGTTGGATGTCACAGAAAGATTATACATTTCCGGTATTTTACTCTCCCTACTAACATCTTTCAATCTGTTGACCTCAGAAGAAACGTATTAAAAGAGCCTCAAGTAGATCATTTGAACATGACAGCGAATGTGTTTTGTAAGTGATTTACTGCTCACCTCTGAGAAGTTGTACAAAAACTTTTGCACTTTGTACCAATCTGCTAGCATGTCTTCTTCCGAGTAAAACTCAGACCGGTTGCTTCTGACAATGTTCATGCCGAAGAAATCCATCGACTCGTTGATATGTTCTGAGGCAATGGCTCGCTGAAAAAAAAAAAAAAATAGAATGCGCGCGCTTACTCATAAAATTATACGTTATTCACCAATGGGGTAATAAGTCAAGCTATGCTTGGGTATGGGAGGGTATTAGGAATAAGAGTTGATTAATCAATAAAACAAGCCTGTACACATTGTACTTACTATACTGTTCCAATTCGGAACAGTGAGCTTCGGAGCTTCCGAAACTCCGAAGCATCATCATGCTAAGCAAAACAATGACAAGAAAACCAGTTACAAGCAATGCTACAATTTTCGTCATGCCATACCTTCAGGGCGTTGAAGAACCTGGCACTTGTGTACGGATGTTCTGGGCCTTCCTCGTGAGCGGGTCCATGCCCGGCGCCGTGGTCCTCTGTTTCAACCGACGCCGCCGACGTTGTCTCTACCCGTCGGCGCCGACGAAAGGAACTGGTCGGGCGGTAGGCCCGCCAGGGAGACCGCTGAAATACGAGAAAAAGTGCATTTGAAGTAGAAGTGCAAGCGGCGATGTTTTGTTGCGTTATAATGGAAAGGTCAGACAAATGACCCATTTTACCCATCATGTCACATTGGTCAATATCAGAAAGTTCCAAAGCAATAGTTGCATAGCATAGAGAGCAAAAATCTTGGCAATCTACTATCATAAATCTTAAAAAGTTCCACGCCGCCGCCGTCGGGGTTACTCCCTAAAAGGCTTATTACGGCGCCGTCGATTGACGCAGGAGGGTGAAATTTTCACGACTCGTGGGTCACGTCATTCAACAGGTAGTATTAAATTTTGGGCACGATGCGGCCGGGGGTGCGCCCGTGGCGCGTGCTCACGTGGTGTGCCATAGGGTTTACACTAGAATCGGCAACAGGCTATTGCTCGGGAACGGTAAGGGCTACGGGGGTGAAATTTTCGCTGTAAGTCGGACGCGTGCACTCAATTGTCGTATTAAATTTTCGAGGGTGTGGGTTCAGCGGTGTGCACGTGATGGGGCCGCGACCGGTGCCAAGCAGAGGGCACGTGCTTTAGGCTCAGTTGTTCGCTTAAAAAGCTGAGTGAAAAGCATCAGAGCCGGGAGGTCATTGACCTTTGACAACGAAGGCCGACACAAGACACCGCTCGCCAAGGGGATTCGCCAGTAAATACAATAAATTTGTTTTTGCAATATCTCAGCCGTTTTAGGGCCGATTTAGCTGAAACTTGGACTGTCGGTGGTAGTATAGGGTAGGGTAGGGTAGGGTAGGGTAGGGTAGTGTAGTGTAGGGGTAGGGTAGGGTAGGATGTAGGGTAGGGTAGGGTAGGGTAGGGTAGGGTAGGGTAGGGTAGGGTAAGGAAGGGTAGGCTAGGGTAGGGTAGGGTAGGGTAGGGTAGAGGATTGTAGGGTAGGGTAGGGGATTGTAGGGTAGGGTAGGGTAGGGTAGAGTAGGGTAGGGTAGGGTAGTGTAGGGGTAGGGGTAGGGTAGGGTAGGATAGTGTAAGGTTAGGGTAGGGTAGGGTAGGATAGGGTAGGGTAGGGGATTGTAGGGTAGGGTAGGGTAGGGTAGAGTAGGGTAGAGTAGGGTAGGGTAGGGGTAGGGTAGTGTAGGGGTAGGGTAGGGTAGTGTAAGGGTAGGGTAGGGTAGTGTAGGGGTAGGGTAGGGTAGGGTAGGGTAGGGTAGGGTAGGGTAGGGTAGGGTAGGGGATTGTAGGGTAGGGTAGGGTAGGGTAGGGTAGGGGATTGTAGGGTAGGGTAGGGTAGGTTAGGGTAGGGTAGGGTAGGGTAGGGTAGGGTAGGGTAGGGTAGTGTAGGGGTAGGGTAGGGTAGGGTAGGGTAGGGTAGGGTAGGGTAGGGTAGGGTAGTGTAGGGGTAGGGTAGGTTAGGGTAGGGTAGGGTAGTGACTGAGAAAAAAAAACTAGGGATAGGGTAGGGGTAGGGTAGGGGTAGGGTAGGGTAGGGGTAGGGTAGGGTAGTGTAGGGTAGGGTAGTGTAGGGTAGGGTAGGGTAGTGACTGAGAAAAAAAAACTAGGGATAGGGTAGGGGTAGGGTAGGGGTAGGGTAGGGTAGGGGTAGGGTAGGGTAGTGTAGGGTAGGGTAGTGTAGGGTAGGGTAGGGTAGTGTAGGGTAGGGTAGGGTAGTGTAGGTAGGGTAGGGTAGGGTAGGGTAGGGTAGGGGTAGGGTTAAGTTCAAAAAGGGCCTAACATACAAAACACTTTAACACCCCGCACCTATCACCAACCCTTACAGTTTAATTAAAAACAGCTACCCAAATCTATCCAAATAATACATCTAAAAATACAAGTAAATCACCCAAACTAATGCACCCGTAACATAACATAAATCAAAACATACAGTTATCACGTAAACCTGTACCTCTAGTCTACTATTTATAAATCCTAAAAAATCCGCGTCGGGGTTACTCCCTAAAAGGCTTATTAAGGCGCCGTCGATTGACGCAGGAGGGTGAAATTTTCACGACTCGTGGGTCACGTCATTCAACAGGTCGTATTAAATTTTGGGCACGATGTGGCCGGGGGTGCGCCCGTGGCGCGTGCTCATGTGCGCCATAGGGTTAGCATTAGAATCGACAAAAACAGGTCATTGCTCGGGAACGGTAAGGGCTACAGGGGTGAAATTTTCACACCAAGTCGAGCGCGTGCACTCATTTGTCGTATTAAATTTTCGAGGGTGTGGGTTCAGCGGTGTGCACGTGATGGGGCCGCGACCGGCGCCGAGCAGAGGGCACGTGCTTTAGGCTCAGTTGTTCGCTTAGAAAACTGAGTGAAAAGCATCAGAACCGACACAAGGCACCGCTCGCCAAGGGGATTCGCCAGTAAATACAATTAATTTGTTTTTGCAATATCTCAGCCGTTTCTGGGCCGATTTAGCTAAAACTTGGGACTGTCGGTGGTAGTGTAGTGTAGTGTAGGGTAGGGTAGGGTAGGGTAGGGTAGGGTAGGGTAGGGGATTGTAGGGTAGGGTTGGGTAGGGGATTGTAGGGTAGGGTAGGGTAGGGTAGGGTAGGGGATTGTAGGGTAGGGTTGGGTAGGGGATTGTAGGGTAGGGTAGGGTAGGGTAGGGGATTGTAGGGTAGGGTTGGGTAGGGGATTGTAGGGTAGGGTAGGGTAGGGTAGGGTAGGGTAGGGTAGGGTAGGGTAGGGTAGGGTAGAGTTAGGTAGGGTAGAGTAAGGTAGGGTAGGGTAGGGTAGGGTAGGGTAGGGTAGGGTAGGGTAGAGTAGGGTAAGGTAGGGTAGGGTAGGGTAGGGTAGGGTAGTGTAAGGGTAGGGTATGGTAGGGTAGGGTAGGGTAGGGTAGTGTAAGGGTAGGGTAGGGTATGGTAGGGTAGGGTAGGGTAGGGTAGGGTAGGGTAGGTTAGTGTAGGAGCAGGGTAGGGTAGGGTAGGGTAGGGTAGGAGTAGGGTATGGGTAGGGTAGGGTAGGGTAGGGTAGGGTAGGGTAGGGTAGTGTAAGGGTAGGGTAGTGAAAGGGTAGGGTAGGATAGGGTAGGGTAGGGTAGGGTAGGGTAGTGTAAAGGTAGGGTAGGGTAGGGTAGGGTAGGGTAGGGTAGGGTAGGGTAGGGTAGGAGTAGGGTAGGGTAGGGTAAGGGTAGGGTAAGGTAGGGTGGGGTAGGGTAGGGTAGGGTAGGGTAGGAGTAGGGTAGGGTAGGGTAGGTAGGGTAGGGTAGGGTAGGTAGGGTAGGGTAGGGTAGGGTAGGTAGGGTAGGGTAGGGTAGTGGTAAGGTAGGGTAGGGTAGGGTAGTGTAGTGTAGGGGTAGGGTAGGGTAGGGTAGGGTAGGGTAGGGTAGGGTAGGGTAGTGTAGGGGTAGGGTAGGGTAGGGTAGGGTAGGGTAGGGTAAGGTAGGGTAGGGTAGGGTTGCGTTCAGTAACATCTTAACTTACAAAGGGCTCGAACAACTTGCATGCATCACCATCATACTTTACAGTTCAATTAAAAGCAGTTACCCGCTTCTACAAAAATCATACCAATAAAAATGCAAGTTTCTACACCCAAACTAATGCATCCGTTAATCATACATATCAAAACATACAGTTATCGCGAAAACCTGTACCTCTAGTCTACTATTATAAATCTTAAAAAGTCCGCCGTCGGGGTTACGCTGACGGCGTGACGCCAAAAAACGGCTATTGCGGCGCCGTCGATTGACGCAGGATGGTGAAATTTTTACCACTCGTGGGTCACGTAATTCATCAGGTCGTATTAAATTTTGGGCATGATTCGGCCGGGGGTGCGCCCGTGGCGCGTGCTCATGTGCGCCATGGGGTAAGCATTAGAATCGCGACCGGCGCCGAGCAGAGGGCACGTGCTTTAGGCTCAGTTTCTTCGCTTGCAAACCTGAGCGAAATCAGAGCCGGGAGGTCGTTGACCTTTGGCAATGAATACCGACGCCGGGCACCGCTCGCCAAGGGGATTCGCCAGTAAATACAATTAATTTGTTTTTGCAATATCTCAGCCGTTTCTGGGCCGATTTAGCTGAAACTTGGACTGTCGGTGGTTATAGTGTAGTGTAGGGTAGGGTAGGGTAGGGTAGGGTAGGGTAGGGTAGGGTAGGGTAGGGTAGGGTAGGGTAGGGTAGTGTAGGGGTGGAGTAGGGTAGGGTAGGGGAAGGGTAGGGTAGGGCAGTGTAGGGGTAGGGTTAGGGTAGGGTAAGGTAGGGTAGGGTATGGTAGGGTAGGGTAGGGTAGGGTAGTGTAAGGGTAGGGTAGGGTAGGGTAGGGTAGGGTAGGGGTAGGGTAGGGTAGTGTGGTAGGTTAGGTTAGGGTAGTGTAGGGGTAGGGGTAGGGTAGTGTAGGGGTAGGGGTAGGGTAGGGTAGGGTAGGGTAGAGTAGGGTAGGGTATGGTAGGGTAGGGTAGTGTAGGGGTAGGGTAGGGTAGTGTAGGGGTAGGGTAGGGTAGTATAGGGGTAGGGGTAGGGTAGGGTAGGGTAGGGTAGTGTAAGGGTAGGGTAGGGTAGGGTAGGGTAAGGTAGGGTAGGGTAGGGTAGGGGTAGGGTAGGGTTGTGTAGGGGTAGGGTAGGGTAGGGTAGGGTAGGGTAGTGTAGGAGTAGGGTAGGGTAGAGTAGGGTAGGGTAGGGTAGGGTAGGGTAGGGTAGTGTAGGGTAGGGTAGGTTAGGGTAGGGTAGGGTAGGGTAGGTTAGGGTAGGGGTAGGGTAGGGTAGTGTAGGTTAGGGTAGTGTAGGGGTAGGGTAGTGTAGGGTAGGGTAGGGTTGAATTGAGTAACATCCTTACTTACAAAGGGCTCGAACAACTCGCATGCATCACCATCATAGTTTACAGTTCAGTTAAAAGCAGTTACCCAGTTCTACACAAATAATACCAATAAAAATGCAAGTTTCTACACCCAAACTAATGCATCTGTTAATCATACATATCAAAACTATACAGTTATCGCGTAAACCTGTACCTCTAGTCTATCTACTATTATAAATCTTAAAAAGTCCGCCGCCGCCGCCCACGCCGCCGTCGGGGTTACGCAGTC